GGGTGTCTGATGATCTAAGACCCGAAACACCCTGTGACCCTGGGTTCATCACTGAGGATGTGTCCAAGCTGCACCACTAAGGTGTTTCTTATAACAGACAGCCATTTCGCTTTCTTGTTTTTCTTTTTCTTGGGAATTTGTTTTGTTGCTGTTTTGTTTTTGTCTCTTGTACAGTGTTATAAACCTCTATTCATAGTTCTTCAGGTACTCTATCTATCTGATCTAATCCCTTGAATTTGTTTCACTTCCACTGTGTATTCATAAGGAATATTACTTAGATCATATCTGTATGGTATAGAGGCTTTCCCTTCTTTTTTCAGTTTCAGTTTAAATTTTGCAATAAGAAGTTCATGATCTGATCCACAATCAGTTCCAGGTCTTGTTTTGACTGACTGTAGGGAGCTTCTCCATCTTTTGCTGCAGAGTATATAGTCCATCTGATTACAATATTGGCTGTCGGGTGATGTCTGTGTATAGAATTGCCTTTTGGGCTGCTGGAAAAGTGTTTGTTATGACTAGTGAGTTTTCTGGACAAAACTCTATGTCTCTGCCCTGCTTCATTTTTGTTCTCCAAGGCCATATTTGTCAGCTATTCCAGTTACCCTTTGATGTCCTACTTTAGCATTCCAACCACCTATGATCAAAGTGAAAAATTTGTTATTAGTTCTAGATCTTTTAGGTTTTCATAAAATTTTTCAATTTCAGTCTCTTCAGCATCAGTGGTTGGGGCATAGACTTGCATTATTGAGATATTGATTGGCTTGCTGTGTATTCGAACAGGGATCAATCTGTCATTTTTGAGATCGTACCCCAGCACTGCTTTTCTTACCATTGGCTTGTTGTATCATGGCTACTCCATTTCTTCTTTTCAGGGATTCCTGCCCACAGGTGTACATGCAGTGGTCATCTGAGTTAAATTCACCCATTCTTGTCTATTTTAATTAACTAACACCTAAGATGTCGATGTTTAATCGCCAGCAGTCACGATGGTGTTATAACCGCAGAGGACACGGTGCAGCTGGTATGTCTGCAGTGTGGGCATATATTAAATTAAAAATATGAAAGCAATCCAACTGTCACTGGTAATTCCTGCAATGCAGAGACATTGAAACATGAATGCTCCCATACGTAAATATATACTTTTATTAAATTTTTATTAATGTCCTTGTATGTCGTATATAACTGCATCTGCAATGCAGATATTGTTTTTTTGCATTGTTTTGAAAGACAGCTATATCCATATAGGCGGTTCACCCACTAATGGATTCCCGCTTTTGCTAAAAGTTCTCACTTTCAATCACCGGTCATTCAGTAGTAATAATACGGGTTGACATCCATGGACCATCAGTGTGGCACTGAATCACCAGCTCATTGTACATATATACCACCAGGTGTCACTGTCATCGCGTCTGTGTAAACCTGAGATCTGCGGAGCTATAAATACTACAAAATAATGTTCGATGCAGCCACCAGAACGAAGAACTGGGCATGACAGGCTGAGGTGCACACAGGTCCAGAACGCCCCCCGCCGCAGGCCGTGACGTACATCTTCTGATCCGATGTGGAGAGCGAAATATGAGAGGTCAGTTAAAATGAGAAAACCCAGAGACCAGAACTTAGTTCCGGATGCAGAGAAGCAGCCATAAATGAGGCTATTTTCATGTGGTGCGGAGACAGGTAAAGACTACACAGGAAGGATTGGGACACCCTCTGCTAGGAGGGTAATAGGAGGAGTCCAAAAGGACACAGTCACATGGTCTTTTTTACAATAAAATGCCCTGCGGCAACCTTGAACAGATGTGTAAAAAAAATAAAATCAGAAGAGATGTGGCAGCTCTGGTGGCTGGATGGGGTATACAACAGAGAGCTGCCAGACCAGTTTTGGCCTGGCCACCTCTGTCATTTTCGAACACTAGATAGAGGCAGACTTTTGGCTATGGCCCAGCAGACATATCTGTGAGGATCCCAGCTGTGTGGCTCTCTCACCTTTGCAGTAGCCCTCCACTCATGTTAATGACCAAAAGTCATTCTCACCCACTTCTGCTCAATTTCTTTTGCTTAAGTATCTCTAATTATTCAAAATAAAAATACTTATGCAGAATTTCAGTTTCCTAGCTTCTCCTGCTTGGATGCAAAAATGATTGTACAAGGCCATCTGTTCTCTTGGCCAGGAGGTGTGATGGTAACACTACAGGTCCAAGCTCTGCTACTCGTTCAGTGTTCGGGTCCCTACAGGGTGGCCGGCTGGGTCACACTGGGTGTCTGTGCCGCATGGAGGTCAGGGCTCACAGGGCAGTGGAGGTCAGTTTCTTGATGCCCCGTCGCTGAGCGATTGTCGAGGAGCCTACAGGCTCCAGCACTGGAGACACGTTTCTGTTCAGAGCTGAGTATGTTGCGGCCATCGCTCCCTAAGGGACAGGACCACCATTAGTCACCATGGCAATGATGCTACCATACTCACACGCATGGCCCCCACCTAGCCTCACCTTGACCAGGTGTGGGGCATCCTGTCTCCTAAGCTGGTACTTGGGCAGCTGGTCCTTCTGCACAATCCAGGGGTGTCTGAGGACCTGGGCTGCCGTCAACCTCTGATGGGGGTCCACATGCAGCATCTTCCACACCAGGTCCTGGGTTAGCGGGGGGTTCACAGTTAGAAGGTGTCCTTTTCCTATCATACAGTTGCATGTACACTAGGGGGTGCCGTTTCCGGTCCGAGCCAAACCCACCTTGGCCTCTGCAGAGACTGAGGTCCAGTAGCCCCCGCTTAGGGAGAACTTCCCACTGCCGATCCGGGCTAGAATTTCTTCTGGAGTATCATCAGGGCCATTTGCGAAAGGTGTGAACCTTTGTGGACAGAACTCATTTCAAACCCACTGGACAGTTCATTAACCCCACATTGTCACCATGGTGTACCTTCACCCTCAGGCCCCCACCTCAGTCAGCGTGGGATACCTACACCTTCAGGCCCCCCTCCCCCAGTCAGTGTGGGGTACCTACACCCTCAGGCCCCCCTACCCAGTCAGCATGGTGTAGAGGAGCACACCCAGGCTCCAGATATCACAGGCAGCATCATAACCCTGCTTCTTCAGCACCTGTAGAGGGTGACACAGACACCTGCCTAAGTAACAGAACACTTTCCTGTTCACCAAATTGGATTAAGGTGGGAGGAGCTACTGGAACCTCAGGAGCCACAAAGTTGGCAGTATAGCAGGGGGTCATCAGCAGCCCGTTCTCGGCACGCAGCTGCTTGGCAAAGCCAAAGTCACAGATGCGGATGGACTCGGGATTCCCGGACTCATCCACGTAGAGGATGTTACTGGGCTTCAGGTCTCTGTGGACCACCTGGCCACATGGGGGCAGCGTTATAGAAAGGTATACTAAGGCGTCATTATTCATCACCTTAAAAAACATTCTGGGAAACGCAATTCTCTTACCCCTTGTGCATGCAGGTACTCCACGGTTTTGGTGATGGTGTAGAGAACAGCGCTGGCCTCTCGCTCAGAGAAAAACTTCTGCCGGAGAATCTTGTCCAGCAGTTCTCCTCCTTTCATCAGCTCCGTTACCAGGTACACGGAGCGGCCGTCATCATAAACCTGCACGTACAGCCACATACAAGCAGAGGTGGAGGCCGTCGGCATTTGTCCGTTTCCCTCTTCAGCACCGAAAGCATTACAGGAACTGTGAGTCACTGAACCTGATATGAGTATGTCTGTAATCATAGGTAACTCCTAAACTGGGCCTGCCCACATGTGCTCCAACTCACTTCCTTCAGGGTGATGATGTTGGGGTGTTGCCCATATCTCAGCAGGATCTCCACTTCCTCTGTGGGGTCCCTCTTAGCCTTGTTGATGATCTGAGAATAAACAGAGATCTGCTCAGATGGCCTGGGAGAGGAGTATGGATCCAGGAGCAACCCAGTCCCCCAGAATACTCCCAAGACCATGGACTGCTGAGTAAGGCCTGGGTGCAGGGTGCAGGGCCATAGCCCACCACCTCATCCAGCACTGGCATTAATACACCGTTGTTGTCACCTTGACAGCGAACTCCATGTTTGAGCTCTTGTGGATGCAACGCTTGCAGATGGAGTATGAGCCCACTCCGATGTCCTCTTTCATTTCATACACGTCAGAAAACTGCACTGTGGGTCTGTGAAGCTGCTGTAGGAAGGATACGGAGTAGAATCAGTACCAAGAGCACCCCCTTGAGACTGCCCCCACAACACCATACATGAATATTGGTGTGTGTACCTGTACAACAGAGGACACGCCCACACCTGCCAGTGGCTCACTCTCCTCCTCAGGGCACATGGCCACAAAGCTGAACCCACGGAAGAGCTGGTGGGCGTTGGCACTGGGGGGCACCCCTGGAGAGTCTGGAACAGCCACCACACACAGTGTCCTTACAGACAGAGCCGCCAGTGGCAACCTCCAGACACTCTTTATAAAGCGTGACCTTAATGTGTTACGTTACTTATTATAATGGAGACCCAGACCTTTGGGAGTTTTTGTGGTGAACTCCGGATCGAAGTAGAAGGTGTCATCCGGTCTAGTAGTCACAGGTTTGAATGGGGGGTAGATCTCTCTCCTGAATAATTTCTGTAATCAGAAATCCAGAGGTAGTAAGGTGCTGACACAAACAGCCTTGAAGCACACCACTAATAAAAGTAGCTGCTTCATGGTAGAGTAACACACACACACGTACGTGCACACACACACAGGTTTGTAATTATATCTTTGTGGGGACTCTCCATTCATTTTTATGGGGAATACTCTAATTCCAACATGACGACCATAACCCCTACCCAGCCTTAATCTTAACCATAAGTAACCAAACAAAATACAAGTCTTTTGGCATTTTTAGTTTTTTTATTTCATCCACAGGTCTTTGTGGGGACCTGAAAAATGGTCAAAATAACAGGTCTGTATTACAGTATGGGGCACATCTGGTCCCCACAATGTAATATGAAGCTAACGCACAAACACACACACACTCTTACATTCCAGTCTATGCTGGAGTAGAATGGGTGCCTCTTGATCTCCTCAACTCCATCTGGACCAGCTCCTGTAAAAAGACACCATGGCATTTAATTATACATCTCTTCTGTCCACATATCTGCACAATCACATACACACTGGGTAAAAACCAGTGGGTGGGCCAAGCCTCCCTGCTTACCTAGTCTGTTGGCTGGGTTGCGTTTGAAAAGATTTCTCAGCAGACTCTGTGCCTCCAAGCTCAGGAACTGTGGCATTCCCAGCTTGGCTCTTCAGACATAGAGACAGACAGCTACAGTGAGAGACATTGTCCAGCTGATGTGGCGAATACAATGAGAGAGAACATCCAGCCAATGAGGTGCATACAGTGAGAGAGACCACCAAGCCAACGTGGCGGATACATCAAGAGAGACCATCCAGCTGACCGGATCGATACAGTGACAGAGACCGCTCAGGAGACCCAGTGGATACAGTGAGTGAGACTGTCCAGCTGACAAAGCGGATACAGTGGGATAGACCATCCAGCCGACCAGGTGGACACAGCGATAGAGACCACCTAGCCAACCCGGTGGACACAGTGAGAGAGGCCACTCAGCCGACCCGGTGGACACAGTGAGAGAGACCATCCAGCCGACACGGCGGATACAGTGAGAGAGAACACCCAGCCGACGCGGCGGATACAGTGAGAGAGGCCACCCAGTTGACCAGGTGGATACAGTGAGAGAGACCGTCTAGCCGATGCGGCGGATATTTTGAGAGACCGGGAGACTGTTCCCTGTGTGGTCTATGTAACAAGGGCAGAGATCAGCTATACCCACTTGAGGATCATGGTCATAGTCTCCTTGCGGTCCTTCCCTTGGAAAGGCAGGGTCCCAGTAAGCATCTCAAACTATAAGAAAAAACAAAGAGGATCATGCCAGGTAGGGCTGAATGATTTGGGGAAAATATGTCATCTCAATTTTTCTGACAGAACTGATCTATATTCTATTGCAAGGATGAGAACTTGCTTGATATGAATAGCTTCCAACATGTATTTATTATTATTTTTTAAATGCACGATAATATATTGTCATATCAGTGCAAATGCTAATAAAATAAGTATGCATTTGCACTGTTGCAACAATCGATGACCACATGTATCACTTTTAAATGTGAATGTGCACTTGCGTACCCTTTATGTGCATCCTTGAACATGAAACAATTATCACAAAAGCTGTGTTAAGTTAAATAAACTAATAAAAATAAAACATTTCCAGTAATAAAAAAACAGGGATCCTGCAGCTAACACTGCTTGTACCCCTACTAATAGAACCTTTATGTAAACAATCTCTGACTATGAAATAGGCAAGAAATTCACTTACAGTTCCGCAGCAGAATCAATATTTTTTTGCACCGCAAATGTAATGTTTTCCTTGGGTTTCACATGTTTGTTGGCATATACAGAGTTGTCTTCAACCACTTCTGCTTGGTGATCATGACTGACGCACAAGGAGGACGCCATGAATTTGTAAAACTGTTCTCATGGCATTGTAAAACCCTGAGTCAGAAGTGCTGTATGATGTACCCTAAACCGCGGCCTTTGCCAATTTGAAATCGATAAGTTGTTCAGCCCTAATGCCAGGACTCACGAGAGAGCATCAGGAACCGCAACCCTCCACACAACACAACCGCAGCACACCACAGTGAGTAAGAACGCGGCAGAGACTCACCATGAGCACGCCGTAGGACCACCAGTCGGCGCTGTGGGTGTGGCCTCTGCGGTTCACCACCTCAGGGGCCATGTACTCCACTGTCCCACAGAAGGAGTACGCCTTGTTCTCATGGTCTATGGACTCCTTGCTCAGTCCAAAATCTGCAGGGGTTTTAGCTGTAAGTGTATCTTCCGGCAATCCAAGGCAGACCCACCCTTCTAAAGTACATCAGATCAAGCCATATTGAAACTGAAGAATGTGTTGGAGTCCCCTGGCTGCCAAATTCCAATATGAAATGACACACCTGTCAGCTTAATATGGCCGTCTTCATCCAGCAAAACGCTGAAATGACAGGAACAAAAGAGGAACATGGAGTGTTAGACTGAAATCTGACAAGCAAAATCACCTTCAGGTAAAGTACAGCACCGTCTGATGATGGGAACAATCACTAGCCTGAGGGTACGTCTAATGCAAGCAAGAATCATCAAAACGAAACAGGGAGGTGCTGGTGTGTCTGTGAGTAATGGGGGGGGGGGGGTATTTCTGCTATCTCTCACTTCTCAGGTTTCAGGTCCCTGTAGATGATGCCCAAACTGTGCAGGTGGTCCAGAGCCAGAGCAAGTTCAGCCAGGTAGAACTTCACATCCTCTTCAGTGAACATCACCTGTGGCAAGGAAGAAAAGGGGCAGAAGGAAGAGGATGGTACTCACCCTCACAAACTGACAACACTCCAATCAGTAGAAGTGATTTACCTCTTTGGACAGACGGGTGAAGAGGTCACCACCTCGAAGGAAGTCCAAGATCAGGTAGAGTTTCCCTTCTGTCTGGAATGCTGTCATGAAGACAGACACAACAGGGATCAATGTCCTACCCCCTCCTCCTTCCCTCTTTCTCTTTGTGCCCTATCCCCCCCTCATGCCCTTCCTCTGCCCTATCCCCTCCTCACGTCTGCCCTCTCTCTCTGCCCTATTCCCTCTTCACGCCCTCTCTCTCTGCCCTATTCCCCCCTCATGCGTCCCCTCTCTCTACCCTATCCCCCCTCACGTCCCCTCTCTCTACCCTGTCCCCTCTCTCTACCCTATCCCCTCCTCACGTCCTCTCTCTCTGCCCTATCCCCTCCTCACGTCCTCTCTCTCTGCCCTATCCCCCCCTCACGTCCTCTCTCTCTGCCCTATCCCCCACTCACCATAGTGCAGTTTGACGATGAAGGGGTGGTTTACTTCTACCAGGATATCCCGTTCCATTTTAGTTCGTACTCGGTCTCGCACTGAAACGTGAACACATAGTAGCTAAAGATGTAGGCTGCACAATGACTCTCACTTCAGCATGATATATGATAATATAAACCTGAATTAATAACTAATAATTTGCTGAACTGGGTGGTTGCCATAGAGATGATGCAGATGATGGGGACACCGGGATATAGTGCAGTTCCCCATCCCCTCTTGGGTTTCTGGCTCAGGTACCTTTCAGGGTGGCCTTTTTCAGCACTTTCATGGCGTATAGCTGGCCTGCATCTGGCCCCGTCACCTTCTTCACCAGGAACACCTGCAGGACAAACAGAGACTAGGATAAGCTGTTCCACTGGGAAAATTAAATACAAAACCTCACATCCAACCTCATTCATGTTCATGTGCTCCAGTCTGCATCTGTCACTCTGAAACGAGGGTACATTTTATCTGCGTGGTCCTAGGAGATGGACACACACATTCTGTCTGCTTAACGCATTTTCATCACACCGATGCTTCTCTCCAAAGGTCAAAGGTCAACTCTGATCCTGCTATAGTCTCTACACTTGCTGTTCTAGATAAATCTCATTATGACACTGCTTCTGAATGCCCCCCATCATTCTGCTTCATGGTGCCACCCTGTCACATGACATTTGAGGTTCCAACAGAACCAGACTTTATGAAGCGGCCCGTACTGCAAACTGCAGGCCCACTGAGCCCAAGGTGGCCTATAACCCTGCATGTATGGTTTTGGGGTCACACTTACTCACACCAGTCTTCAGACCTGAGGGTAAACATTACTCTCAATTTCAGCTCTTGCTGTTCTGATCTGGGTGTGACATGAGACATGGTTGAGGACACATTACACACACACCTCAGCCATGGCAGGTAAATCTGTTCAGTTGTTCTGACACTGGGGGGGCTGTATATGTGCAACATGTACGTCTCTCAGAAACAGCTTCACTCTGATCTTTGCTACTGCCAAGATGACGAGGAATATCTGAGTAAATAATTAACGAAGCTGCCGGTCATCCATTATTCACTGCGGAAGTTATGGAGGGTCCACCATAACAATATGATGGCTGTGTGGGAACCCCATCAGTGTGCCTGTCTACAGGAATACAAGTATTCTGTGTGCGTGTGTGTACTTGGGGTGGGGGATAATGCACATGGTAATCAACATGGTAACTATGGAAACTAGTTGTCACTGTGACATGGCCACACATCATCATGACAACCACCACCACTGAGCCCAACTAGGGTCAAGACTGGTCTCACACTCGGTGAGCCCTGCTGATACCCGGTGTTATAGTGGAATACAGCTGTAGAGTGCCACCTGGTTGTGGTTTCCCCATCAACTGTTTCAGTGAGCACATCCACACCACTCACCTTCCCGAAGGAGCCCTGTCCCAGGACTTTGCGGAGCTCAAATTGTCGTGGGTCAGCCCGCTCAAAGCCCTCTTTCACATGCTGGGTAATGCTGATCTCCTTCACTGAGCCTTCATCCTGAGGAGGAGGAAGAGAGATAATCAGAGTGTCCACATGAAGAGCTCCTTTCCAAAATGGCATAAATCCATTATGATAGTTTTCAGGAAAATTACATTTTTTTACCTAGACCAACAAATTTTGTTAATATTTAATTTATTCTGGTTTTTTTTCCCCCTTTTTTTTTCTTTTTTTTCCCTTTTTTTCTTTTTTTTTTTAAATGTGTCCTGTCCGGCAGCTTTAGCAAGCAGAATAATGGTCTGAATGCACTGCTGTGTCAGACATATTTGCTTTGCCATGAGGGGCTCTATAAACTCTGTATAGGCCCTTCATGTTGGTCGATTTCTTTTTATTTGTATATTTATTGTATTTTATTTTTAACACATGTAAAATATTCCAGTTGCCGAGCTGTCCGGAAGGGAGTGAGGGGGTAGGGAGAGAGATTAAAAAGGAGGTGATAGAGGAGAAAAAAAAAAAAAAAAACATGAACAAAGGGGGAGACAACAGTGGAAGAGAGGCTAAGAAAGACAAGAGTAACGTAAAAAGCACATATCAAGGCAAGGAGAAAAAAAAAAACACAGCATTTGAAATACAACCAAAAATGGACGAATACAAAGACACAACCAGAATTAGAATAGAATAGAATAGAATATTCCTTTAATGTCCATCAAGAAAATAAAACAGATACACAGACATCCAAAATCGTTGCATGTGCTTGGAAGGGAGCGTGGAAGTGGGTTTGCATGTGTGTTCTTCTGTGTGGGGGTATACGTGTGTTGGGTGCGTGTGAATTTCTCCATGGAATGCACTTGATAGCAAGGGTGGGGGGCCGCAACCCCACCCCACAAGAGCCAGAGGCCAGCGGAGATAGACCCAGGAGACCCAAGCCGTCCACAGCCCCCCAAGAGCACAGAAGAGCCAAGGCCCCACGTCCCCACGACAGCCGCGTCCCCACCCCAGCAGGAGGAGGAGGAGGGGGGAGACCCCAGGCGCAGCCCCCCGCAGCCAAAAGGGCACGAGCCCCAGAGAACCAGAGGCAACAGGCAGCCGACCCCGCGAGGG